CTTCATACCCTCTCCCGAAAGCATACGGACCGAGACAAAGCCGCCGGATTTGCCTGCAACAGAGATGAATTAATGATGTTCGACCTAATTTTCTCGTCACCCCCCGACTGCAAGGCCTTGATCAGCCCTTCCCTCCTAGAACTGTCGCACGCGATCCCTAGAGTCGACCATATCGAGCTTTTCGCGGCTTCTCGAGGATCGTTGACCCTCAAAGTCTTCGGGACCACAACCGGGCTCCCATTTGGCTCCCCCTCCCTCGAGCGCTTTGTAGGGCCCGCACCAATCGCCGCATTATGGCCCGGCCCGGGAAAGCTGGCATTCCAGACAGGCGGAGTGTAGTAGTAGTACGGAGGATAGAATGCTGGAAGGGGCCAGGGGGAAACGGGCCTGCTCGGCCCGTTATCGTGGCCGAAGCAAAGGACCCCACCGTTCGAGTCAGGCCGGGCCCCGGGGAAGGGGAGGTTGCGGGGACAATAGCTCTTGTTCTTGCGGCGCCCGGATCCCACGGGGACGTTGCGCATGGTGCCGCCATCTGTCCAGTAACGCTGGCAGCCCTTACAGAAGTGGCGCGGCTGGTTCACGTTGTAGTTGTTGAAGTAGCAAAATTTGGTGTCCGTGCTCTTGCATCGAGGGCACGGGAGGATCTTGTCGGGCTTCTTGAGGGCTTGTGGTGGGCCGTTTTTGGGCGAGGGCTCGGAGGGAGGGTTGGTGGTGGTGTGTGATTCGGTTGGGTTTTTGTTCAAATCTTGATCGATAACGGCTTCACACACTTCTTCTTCTTCCTCCTCTGACTCGTGTTTCTCCTGTTGTTCATGTTGTCGAACCTATTTATTAATTAGATCAATATGAGTCAAACGAGTTCGATATTGAACTATTTTGAAAATTACAATTTTAGCCTATAGGACAAGCTTAGATGAGGGCTTAGGGATCGTATTGGGAATCCAACTTCCAAAGGAACGATCTCTTGCTTCATTCACTTCGTATTTCATATTATTTCATTATTTGAATGACATATGTATATGATGATGCGATATGTGCACGTCGTTAATTAAGCGCAATCAAATACACACAATGAAAAATAATATAAGTGTCACATGAAATGTGGTCCAATTCCAAACATGAATGACTAAAAGGAGTCGGATATTTATGTAGCATGGAGAGGGTTGGTGGGTTTAGCAAAAGTAGATCTTTAAGGCCACACTTATTATGGTTTCACACAAGAGACAATAAAAATAGGCTAAGGTAGAATAAATACTTGTAAAAGTGGCATAGAATCCAGAAAGTATGTGAAAAAGCTGAGCTTACCACATATCTTATCGGGTAGAAGAATAGTCAATAGGACAAGTCTTTACAATGAAAGTCAAGACCAAAAAGTTAAATATTAATTTTAAAAAGTTCTAACATAGTTCAAAATTGTCTATTAACTCCTTCAAGATCTAAAAATAAATAAAAAAGAAAATACAATTAAAATAATCTTGGTCTAGGCAAAATTAGTATTATTATTATTAGAAAATGCTACTGTCCTGTTATGGAATCATTCTGTCGGAGTTTGTAACCGTTAGATCATCATGTAACCGTCGGAGATAGTTGATCTAACGATTACAAACTCCGACAAGATGGTTCCTTAACGGTACAGACTGTAGCATCTCCCTTGTTATTATTCCCAAGAGCATCATCAATTCTACCCTTTTTCACCTTTTTTTAGAAATATTATTGGCAACAAGAATATATTCATTTGCTTGGCCAAGAAAATCAACAACTAAAGCCGGGTAAAAAAGATTCAATGTTTCCATACATGATCAACAAAAAAGACAAAATTGAAACACGCAAATCTACATAGAACATATGACATGAAACATACATGAACTAAAACATTAAACAAAACCCCCCAACAAATAACTCTTCTTTAGTGAGTGAAAAAATAAAATTTCAAGACAACTAACAACTCTTACCTCCTCAACCTTCCCCTGTTTTTCACCACCACCACCACCGGCTTTTTCTTCGTCTCCTCCTTTCTTCCCACCACTCGCATCCACACAGCTGCCGCAGTCCACAGCGCCGCCGTTGCTGCTCTCGACGGAGGACTCTCCGGAATATTCCCCCGAGGCGGCTCGGCCCTTCTCCGGCAAGAGAATATTCCTCCCGAAAAGCTTCAGCTCTGGCTCCTTCACCATCATCCTTAGTTCCTCTGCACCAAAATTACTATTGCTAAGGTGTGAATCAAAATCTTGAAAATGAAGAAAAAAAATATATATAGAGAGAGAGAGAGATTAAATGAGAGAGAGAGAGAGAGAGATGTGAAGAGAAAGGAAAATGAATGAAATAAAAGAAAAAAGAATAGGAGAAAAAGCTTTGTTGGCAATGCTCAAAGGGATGATTTTGATTGACATATCTTTTAGTGAAAAAAAATTTAGAAAAGTGGGGTTAACACTTAATAAAAGATGTGGGTGCCATGTCATCATGGGTTTGTGTTTTCTGAACCACAAGTTTTTTTGTTTGTGTGGACCACATGGAATTTCCAACTCATCTTTATTAATGGCTTTTTAAATAAAGTTTGAAAAACACTCAAATAGATTTGCCATTATATATAATATAGAGAAGTTTGAGATTTGAAAATACAGATCAAGTTTGTGTAGACAAACCTCTCATAAAACTCGTGGGATTTACGTATACTTGTCTTTTTTTTATCTTGATATTGTTCTTTGACACCAAGTAGGACTCATGTTCACTTGTTTTTTTGTTTTTTCTTTTTTAATATATATTGAAGATTAAAATTTAGGGAAACCATCTCGTCGAGTATTTTAACCGTTGGATTCACATGTAGTTAGATAAAATAGATGATCGAAAGGTTAAATAACCCGACGAGATAGTACTGTAACAGAACCGTAGCATTTTTCTAAAATTCAACAACACATGATGTCATCGGAATTATTAACCAAATTACGGAGTGTATCGACTTAACAAAATAAGTCTCGCCCTTTGTAAACCGAATAAATAATAACTGAAAATATATGTTCATTTATTGTCTTACGAGTTAAAAGAACGCATCGATCAGGGACGGATCTTAATAGGGCCTGGGCTGGGCTGAAGCCCAAGCCTATTAATTTTTATTTAACACTGTTATAATATGTACAAGTGGAATAAACCACTATGCACAAAATAATTTCACTCTATTATTTGATGTTATGGGAATAGTGAAATGGGGTATGGATATTAATAATTGATGTGAATTGTGTCGGGAGAGTTTTGCCTATAAAAGGCACTCCAAATGTAGAGAAATTGTACCATTGAAAGAAAGAAAGAAGAAAGAAATATTCAGTATAATTTCTATCCGGTTTCTATTTTGTGTTCTTTATCTTTAACGTTTTTATAACACGTTATCAGCACGAGCGCTCTACCCGGTCAAGAAAGGTAGGAATATACTAATTATATATGTATGTATATATATTACATAAAATTAGTATATTTTACTGATATACATATTACCATTATTCTTGACAAGTAAGGCTCTGCCATAGTCGAGTATATGTGGTATGAATATACTAAATATGACATTATTTACATATTACCATTATTATTGGCAAGTAAGGTTAAGCCATAGTCAATAATATGTGGTAAGATGATATTATTAAATTTGTTTATGATTACTACTAATTATGACGTATAACTTCAAGTTATAATAAATAATATTACTTATACTTAACGCCCACAAAATGGTTTACCCAGTAATGTGGTGTGAAATTTATAACTGCTTATTCTTGTACCCACCGAAAGATTTATCGAGTAGTGTGGAGTGACATTTTTATTTGTTTTGTCACTTATATTCATTAAATTGTTCACATAGTGGCTCGGTGAATTTTTAAGATAATATACATGATTAATTAGTATTTTATAATCATGAACAATTAACTAACAAATATTATATCATTAGTTTGTTCTCAACGGCTTCATAACGGCTATATTGCAACGGCTACTTATCAACTTATATATATATCACACTACACTTCATATATTAACACCATTCCAAATACTAAAATATATTTCCCTCAAACGAAAAAAAAATAATAATAAATGTTTCATCTACTATTTATAATTACCATTATATTGTTTATTTTTTACACTTTGGGAATTTTCACAATGATGTATCATACCACTGAATTTATACTTTATGTATTAGGTTTTTGTATGATGTGTCTCTTATTTGCTTTTCTGTACGTTGTGGAGAATTAATGATTGTATAATGTAATTTTCTCTAATCTAAGCATTGATGTTTTATTTTATAGTTATCATGGCAAATCTGGTCAAACTCGAATTTGAGGCTCTTGACATTTCCGGAAAAAATTATATTTCATGGACACTAGATGCCGAAATTCATTTGGCCGCGAGGGGATTGGGAGAAACAATAATCTCCCCAAATAATTCATCAATACAAGATAAAGCTAAAGCAATGATATTTCTGCGGCACCATTTGAATGAGGGATTGAAAAATGAATACTTAACTGTGAAAGATCCCGCGGATCTTTGGAAAGCTTTGAAAGAAAGATACGATCATCAGAAAACAGTAATTCTCCCCCGGGCTCGTTATGAATGGATGCACTTACGCTTCCAAGATTTTAAAACTGTAAACGAGTTCAATTCGGCCATGTTCCGCATTTGCTCGGCATTGAAATTATGCGGGGAAAACATAACTGATTATGATATGCTTGAAAAAACGTTGTCCACATTCCACGCTTCAAACGTGCTTTTGCAGCAACAATACAGAGCAAAAGGCTTTGTGAAAAATTATGAGCTGATTTCTTGCTTGTTGCTAGCCGAACAAAATAATGAGCTGTTGATGAAAAATCATGAATCTAGACCCACGGGGTCTACTGCGGTCCCTGAGGTAAATGCTGTAATATCTAAACAGGGACCCAGAAATGAAAACAACCAAAATTATGGACGTGGATATAACTCAGGCCGTGGTCGTGGCCGTGGACGTGGTCGTGGATATGGTCCAGATAGAAATTATGGACGAGGCCGAAATTTTTACCCGGGATACAAATATGGCCGAGGTTATTATCGTGGACATGGAAAAAACGATGCCCAAAATTTTGAAAAGGGGAAGAATTTTCAGAAAAATTTTGAAAATAATAAAGGGGAAGAAAAAGTTGTGAAAAATAACGATGAAAAGCCATGTTATCGATGTGGGAAAAATAACCATTGGGCTCGAAATTGTCGAGCCCCACCGCACGTGGTTGAAAGATATCAGGATTCTCAGAAAGCAAAAGAGAAGAATATTGAAACTAATTTTATGGTTGTGGAATCCTCTGAAAATGATGCAACACGTGTGGATGATGACTATGGCATCGATGACATATTGAAACTGGACTTTGCCGATGCGGCATTTGAAGACGGAGCTGGAAATGACCAAGAGAATAACTGATGATCGTGTTTTATTTTGCTTTTTGAGTTGTAATGTATTTGTGTGTGAGCTACTTGTATCTGTACTTTGAATTTGATCAATAATAAATGTCGTTTTCTTTTAGATCATGGATCGGTCTCGAATCCAAGATGGAGATATATGTCTTGCAGATTGTGCCACTACTCATTCTATATTCAAGGACAGAAAATATTTCGTGAACTTGAAATTAAATGAAGCAAAAGTAAACACAATATCCGGAAGTGCAAAGATAATTGAGGGTTCTGGAAAATCCATATTTTTTATGATGGGTGGTACAAAATTTATAGTAAGTGATGCGCTATTCTCCCCAAAATCAACAAGAAACTTGTTGAGTTTTAAAGATATTCGAATGAACGGATACCACATTGAAACAATGAATAAGGGGGGAGCTGAATATCTTTGCATTACCTCAAATATTGCGGGAAATAAATGTGTTTTGGAGAGATTACCCGCTTTATCCTCGGGTTTATATTACACCCGGATTAATATAATCGAGGCTTATGTTGCAACCAATTCAAAACCGAATGAAAGATTTAAACTTTGGCATGATCGACTTGGTCACCCTGGCTCGATAATGATGAGAAGAATTATTGAAAATTCTAGTGGCCATCCATTGAAAAATCAGAGGATATTGCAAACACATGAATTGACATGTGCCTCATGTTCTCAAGGGAAATTGATACTGAGACCATCACATACTAAAGTCGGACATGAATCACCATTATTTTTGGAAAGGATTCATGATGATATATGTGGACCTATTCATCCACCTTGTGGTCCATTCAGATATTTTATGGTGTTGATTGATGCTTCTAGTAGATGGTCTCATGTGAGTTTGTTATCAACTGGAAATGTGGCATTTGCTAAATTACTCGCCCAACTTATCAAATTAAGGGCTCAATTCCCAGATTATATTATCAAAAGGGTCAGACTTGACAATGCTGGTGAGTTTACATCTCAAGCATTTAATGATTATTGTATGGCAGTGGGAATTGATGTTGAACACCCTGTGGCACATGTTCATACTCAAAATGGTCTAGCAGAATCATTAATTAAACGACTGCAGCTCATAGCTAGACCATTGATAATGAGGACAAAGCTTCCCACTTCAGTATGGGGACATGCTATTCTGCATGCGGATGATCTAATTCGAATAAGACCAAGTGCATACCATACATACTCGCCATTACAGTTGGCATATGGTCGTGAACCAAATATTGCACATATAAGAGTTTTTGGTTGTGCAGTATATGTACCAATTGCTCCGCTCCAACGTACAAAAATGGGGCCTCAAAGAAGGTTGGGAATATATGTTGGATATGAATCTCCATCAATAATCAAATACCTTGAGCCAAAAACAGGTGATGTTTTTACAGTTCGTTTTGATGATTGTCATTTTAATGAAGAATTGTTTCCCCCCTTAGGTGGGAATGAAAAGTCAATTGAGAGAAATATTGAATGGAGAACATCCGCATTATCATATCTTGATCCTCCCACCAAACAAAGAGAGCAAGAAGTTCAAAAGATCATACATTTGCAGAATATTGCAAATCAATTGTCAGATGCATTTACTGATTTAAAAAGGGTGACCAAATCACATGTGGCAGCCGTAAATGCCCCTACTCGAATTGAGATTCCAAAAGAAATAGCAAATGATGATAAGCCAAGTGAGTCAAAGACACGCTTGAAACGAGGAAGACCAGTTGGGTCTAAAGATAAGAATCCTCGAAAGAAAAG